TTTCGACATTCGGTCAACGCTCGGGCACGTTTTTTTTTAATCTCAAAAAAAAAAAATTGGTAACATTTTAAATCTCAATTTTATTTTGTTAACTAAATATAAAAGAAATAATTTATAAATTAATTTTTTTCTGTTATGAAATTTGACATGAAAAATTAACAAAGTACGAAGAATTATTTATATTAATATTTATGTTATGAAATTTAAATATTTGATTGGTTATATGACTTATTATGGACTCTTATATCTATTAAATATAAATTATATTATATATATTAAAAATTTTATTTAATATCAAAACGTGTCCCAACGTGTCAAAATATGACATTTTTTAGAATTAACGTGTCAGCGTGTCGTGTCGTGTCCCGTGTCCGTATCCGTGCATCATAGGTTCAAGGTTTGAATTCTGATTCATTGTTCTTGTCTAGAGAATTATTTTGGTTTCAACAAAATTGTTTCATGAACATGATGTTTTAGTTTCAATGAACTTGCTAACACTATGATGTGGGTTGCTTTTGTTTTTTGTGAAAATTTCCAATTTTGAAAGTTTTGATTTTCATGAAACAATTATTCAAGTTTTGTTTGCATGAATTTGGAGAGCCAAAAATTGTGCCTAATTGTGGCTTTATTAGTGAATTAATTTATGATTTCACTTTAATGAGTGTATTACTATTATACTATTATTGTCTTTGCACAGTTATGCTGCTCACCAATTAATTTCTATGTGCAAATACTTTGTTTGTAGTACTAAAGTCTTACCCTTGGTTTCCTTGTTATTTTGTATTTGAATAAACTTAAATGTTATTTTTGTGGTATTAATTGGCTGACTAATTTAGATTTTGTAATTGGCATTGTTTATACGGTACTGTATGTGAAAGCCTTATTGCGGTATTGCATTGTTGTATTAATGAGTTAGTTTCATTGTTTTCACACTTACATGGGCTTAGTGTTCCGATATTTTGGTCCTCATTTTCTAATATTGGTATTTTTTTAGTGTGAATTGGACCCACTTTTGGTTTCATTTACTGTTTTGAAATTTTTCTGATATTGTGAATAATAATGTTTCATAGCTTTATTCACCTTAGCATGAATACTTATATTTATTTTTGAACCCCACAGATGAGTTAGTTTTAACATTTATTAGTTATTAGTAAAGGGGCATTAAGTATAATTTTTTGAATTTTATATTCATCGCACATGTGTCTGGAATTATTTACGTCACTTATACGAAATATTTTTACATGGGTAGGTCCCACAATTCATAAACTTTGTACTTTTGAGGACATTTTTTGACTGTGCGTCTTTTGTGGAATACACTTTCAGAATGGTGCATTTTTTGAATTCTGATGAATTATTTTACTCAATGCTAACGTAAATTATTTTCTTAGTTAATGTCTTCTATGTGTACTATTTCAACTAGCACGAAGTTAGTTGTTATTGTTTTCGGAAAATCAGTGGCATTACCGGCAGTATTTATTAGTTTGTTTTGACTGATTTCGATTTCCAAAATATTTTGAATCGTTAGCATGAATTATAGTATTCAGATTTGCGTATTACTATTTAGTGATTCTTGAAATCTATTAAGTCTTTCTGTTGCAGTTTCATATTTGGGTTTTAGTGAAACACTTGGTGTTGTGAAATCAATGAATTATAATTTTCCATTCGATTGGATCTCTCTTTTCAACGTAAGATGAAACTTTTGATTGAGCCTCTACATTTTAAATTTTTTTGGATCTTAGTACTATTCATGTAGTGTTTAAGTTTTAAAATTTTTGAAACTGGTATGTTGTTGTTCCAATATTTAATTAGTTAACGTGAATTGATCATTTTGGTTTTTATGGGAACTATGCAACTTTTGATTTTTGGATTATTTCACTTTTGTGGAATGTTACTAGTTCGTGCTTTAATATCTCTCATTTGGGATTGTGTAAATTGAATTTTGATTCACATTTGATGTTGTTATTAGACTATAAATTGGACTTCCATATTATTGGACCCTTGTGTCATTTGGAATATGTTGTTGGCAATTAAAGAAATCAAAAAAAATTGCATGAAATGGTAATTGAACCCATAATCACCTAAATGGTTAGGTTACATTTTGCATATTGAACTAATGAAAATTTTGGATCACATAAAGGGTGTGACATTAGTTATAATTCTTATTTGTGATACCTTTATGTTGGAATTATAGAGATATATAATTTATAAAATTTATCTGCCCAAAGGGGATAAATTTTAGACAATTATGTATAATTTTCTCCTACTTAAGCATAATTAGTATTTTTTGTCTTATACTACTTTAATATTAAATGTTGAACTTTTTTTTTTTGGCAAAATTTGCTGGATTGACAAATGCAATATGATTTTTGGAAACACATGTTGTGAAGTGTTTTATGTTGTTAAGTGTTTCATGTTTTTGGGCATTGTCGTCGATCTATTATATTGAATTATTATAAGTTAATTATCTGGCCAAAGGGGGTTGTTACATATAATAATTTGGGAAATTGCATGAAGAAATTATTGATAAGATTACGTAATTTAAAAGTATTTATCTACCCAAAGGGGATAAATTATTTTAAATTGCATATGGTATTATGGAGAAATATATATAATTTAAAAAAATTTCCGCCCAAAGGGGATGAATTTTTATAATTGTATGTAATTCTCCTTGTCATTTAAATCTTTATGTGATGTAAAATATTTGTATATGATATTCCCTGCCCAAAGGGGGGTTTATGATATATAAATTATTTTGTTGTTGCCCAAATTTAATTTTGTTGCATTGTGTATATCAATCAATTATTTTTACCATAAAAAACAATCATGCCATTATTGAGTTATTGACTATGTCAAATTATAAGAAATGAAAATGTATAATTTATAGAATATTTTTTTATTCATTGAGTTGTATGCTTGTGCTTGAACTATTTAAGTGCAAATTTTTTATTTTTATTTTTATTGGCTAAAGTATTTAAATTCATGATCAGTGAGGGTGTTTCACCTTCTTGTGGAATGTATCATGATTTTGGGTAAGATTTTGAAGAGTTTCTACGAATTACTATAGGTATTATCACTAAAGTGAGATAGATTTATTTGTCATGTAAATTTTTTGTAAATTTGAGGACTATTTCTTGTTATTTCATGCATGCCCAAAGAGGGTTATTGTGTGTTTTAATTATAAGCTTGTTTGTAATAAAATTATTACGGTGATCTCTTAAGCTAGTTTGTGCTCATTGATTGATTCATCTGAGGCTTTAACCTTAGTTTAAACCTTGGTATGTGCATTATGTCCAAAGGGGAGTATACTATTTTGTTGGCCTCATTTTAAACAGGTGGATTTCTGCCTGTTAATTTTGACTGCTGATGCAGCAATAGATAGTAGAATCACCCTAATTATGCGAGTCTGAGTTAGAGAGTTATTATAATGATATCAATATCATAGATGAGTTTAGAATTCAATCCTGTAAAGATTGACACCCATATTGGTGGTATTCTGAGAAAGTGAGTTTTGACCTAATAGTTGATACTGTTGTGGCAGTAATAGGTATTTGACTAACCCTACTAATTAGGGAATCTGAGATAGAGGATTATTCTAAGGATATAATTATTATAAATGGAATGAGGATGAAATTCTCAGAAGTTTGATATCCATATTGAGGGTATTTTACACAGATGGATTTTCATCTGTTATTTTTTACTATTGACGCAGTAACAATCAGTAGAATAGCTCCACTTGAGAAAATTTGAGTTAGAGAGCTATTTTGATGTTATGATTATCATAGATGAGGTTAGTATATGATTTGATGAAGTTTGATACCCATATTGGGGTATTTTGAAAAAGTCACTTCTGCCGATATTTTGTACTGCTGCAGAACCAGCCGGTAGAATTCCGGAATGGGAAAAAGATGAGAAAATGCAAAGGAAGTTCAATATATGCCAAACAAGTCATAATTAGACCAATGATATAAAAATTAAGAAAGTTATGAAGTCCGAGTACAGTTAAGGATACTCGTAAAGACTACAGTGTAGTTAAACAACAGTAAGTGTATCTGTGAGTTATTAATTAGATTTTTGAGTTAGAAATATATTAATTAAACAAACTTAATATTAATTACTTAAAGTTGAGATCTTGGAGATTTTTGGGTAAAAATTTGATAACAGTTCAAAGAAAAATTATACTGGGTGTCACTAAATGACAGAAAGTAACTTAATGACATGGCATAAACCCTAAAAACATAAGGGACCCTTCCCCTCATTTCTGATCAGCACCCTAGCAGCCCCCTCTCTCTCTAAGTTTGAGTTTTCAAAATTTCTCCACCTTCTCTCTAAGATTCCACCACCAAAACTTCATCAAATCACCAAACTTCCTTCACAAAACTTGTTCCTCTCATCCTCCTCTTCAAGAACATAATATTTTTGTTCTTTGAAGCCAAATTTTTGTGGTGAATCCCTCCCCAAACAACAGCGATTTTGGAGCATGTTCATGCCTTGGAGATGATGTTTTGAGTTCTCTTAGAAGAACACTCCTTTGGTGCTTGTTTCCTTAAGTTTTAGTGTAAGTTTCTTGAAGCTTTTTCTTGAAAAATCCCATCTTTGAGTTGTGTTCTTGAGTTCTAACTTTGAGTCTTTGTTAAAGGTGTGTTCTTGAGTTATAAGTTAATTATCGCCCCAATGGTGGTTGTCTGGTGGTCTGCATCGCCCAAAACGACATATTCTAACACTCTGTCTGGCGTGGGCCTGGAATGTTCCACCCGAGGGTCGTCCCTTGCGTCAAATTCTACAAGAAAACACTGGTCAAGTTCCTTTCTATTCCTGCTAGGGCTTTCTTCAATTACCTGGGTTGTTATCAGTTGGGGCGCTGGTAAGTCTTTGAAGGTAACCCTAGTCGTTGGTTTCAAAGATATGTTGTAGCAGCTCCTGGCTACTGTTTGGTCTCCTTTTACCGTTGCGACTTTATTGTCCCTGGCTACGAATTTCATCGCTAAATGTGGGTGAGATACGCTCGCCTCAAAAGCGGCAAACATCCTCCTGCCCAGAATAGCGTTGTATGCTGATTGAGTGTCAAGCACTAAGAACTGGATGTCAGCTGACCTTGAAGTGGGTGGTGTTCCCATTGATAAGCGCAGATTTATCATGCCGAGGGGCTTGGTGACTGTTGCTTTGAAACTTGACAGTTCACCAACAACAGGGGTTAAGTCATTGATCGTAAACTCTAATGCCCTAAAACAAGGTAAAAATAAGATGTGAGCAGAGCTGCCATGGTCAACAAACACTCGATTTACGCCAAAATTAGCTATTATTGCTTGGATGACTAGTGGGTCATCATGTCCGGGTAGGACGTCGCCCAAATCATTGCTGTCCCAAACGATTTTAGGCTTGGTGGGGTCCCCACTGACTTTTGCTTTGTTGATGATTTTACCAGACACCGCCAAACACTATTTCAAATGTTTCTTTCTGGCGTTCGTTGTTTCTCCACCGTCACTCAATCCACCTACGATCATGTTTATTACTCCGTGCTTGATGACAGCCGAGTCTTCGTCACCTTCTTCACGTCCTTCATTATTGTTAGGGCCGGTTTAGACCCTGCGGTCTCTTGGGGAGCTTTCTCTTCGGTTACGTTCACGGCGAGGCCTGTAGTCAAATTGGCTGGTTCTTCTCCTTTCTGGTGACCTTCTGCGTTCGCGGCGACACCTATCAGAACTAATTTCACGCCCAGAATTATTTGTCTGCCTTTGGGCTCCTCTTTTGATAAGCGCATCAATCTCATCCTTGAGAGATCTACATTCTTCGGTGTTATGGTCGTTGCTACGGTGGAATTTGCAGTATACAATGATTTCTCTGGCTGGCTGTTGGTGTTGTGGGTTACTCTTGCGCTCTTTGTATTCAATTTGCAGGATGTTGTGTGATTGGCGTCTTGGGGTATCACGCCCTAAAGGGCGGCTGGAATATTTGGATGTTTCGTGGCTTTTCCTCTCTTCATCAACGTGATCTTTTTTATTAGCTTTCTTCTCTCGGTTATGGGAGTCATCTGCTCTACTCCCCTTATACTCTTCAATTCGCATGAATTCTTGACCTTTTTTCTTGTCCTCTTCAAGGTCGGTAATTTCGTGGCGGGCGAGCTCATATGCGAACGCCCTCTATTGCAAGCCTGACAAGAGTATATGCACCTATACTTTAGGGTCTAAGCCTTGTACCTGAAGAGCCTCTTTGTCGAAGCGGTCCAAAAAGGATCTGAGGGGTTCCCCTGACTGCTGGCAAATTTTTTCAAGGGAATGGACAGATTTGGGCATTGGGTGGCTTGTTGCGAAATGGGTATGAAACTTACTCGCCAAATCATCCCAGGACGCAATACTCTCGGTTGGCAGAGTGGTGTACCACGTCAATGCTCTCCCGCCGAGGAGTGTAGGGAAGGTCCAGCACGTAAAGAGATCTATCTCGCCATGAAGGGTCATTGCTGCTTCGAACTTTTGGATCCATTCAAAGGGATTAGTGTCGCCCACATACATCGTTATATTAGACGGTCCTTTGAAACCGAGAGGTGTGAGCGTTAGGCGCAGGCTATCAGTCAAGGGTTTGTTGCGTCTCGAGGTATTAGCGGGTGTTACTCGTAAGTTCGGGTTACGACCGTGTAAGTCTGGCGGTGGGTGAGGTGCTTGAAAGGCTTCTGCAGAGTAAGAGAAGGCTGGGGCTTGTTGGGCGCCATATTGTGGTGGGCCTGGAAACATACATGATCCTTGAGGTTGTGGAACGACTGCATTATGAGGCGGTATTGCGTAACCGTGGAATGGAAAACCAGTAGGGAATGGTGGGGGGTAAGGGGCAGCGACGTTGTGAGTGTAAGGTCCAGGGGGATATGAGGTGACCACAGGGACTCGATGATCATTATACATAGCCATCAGTTGACTTCGGGCCGATTGTTGATGATTGGCTGGTGGGATAGTTTGTGGGCCAGCGGCAGGGAGTGACATTCTGAAATGAACTCCTGGCGGTGGGGGTTGAGTTGGGATTAAGTTCTCTCCTTGGACTACGTGACGATTCAACTGTGCTACTCTAGCATTAGCTGCTGGTAACTGTAGGAAAACAGATTGTAGCACCGGGGGGAGAGCCTCGTCGGCTGCTTGTTCAGCTGGGCTTAATGCATGGATGGTGGGGAGTTGGAATGAACTATTTACGCATGACCTTCAGGGGTAATGACTCTAGTCTATTCTGCTCTTCTTGTCGTGACAGCCATGTTTAGCTGTCAGAATGTGAAATGCCTCCTGTAGATCTTAGGTAGGAGAATGAGAATAGAAGTTTATAGTTTCCCACAGACGGTGCCAATGTACCGTTGGGATCTATAAGCCCACTATGTTCCCTTTGGGGATGATGTCACTATATGGATGATACTTCTAGCGAAGGTAAAGACCAAGCTAGCAAGCACTATTCCAAGTATGATGCAAGCAGATAACAATGGAGGGTTTAGTGTGTGTATGAGTGTGACTTAATACAAATGGGCATAATAACGATACATGAGATACCTCTTTGTGTGCCCTTGGCGGGCTATTTATAGGAAAAGGTGATGGTGATCTCGTATGGGTTGGTGAGGAGGAGGTCAACCCTCCTTGGGATCTGCTAGGGGTGGCAGATGCTGCTGGGGGTGGCAGTCACTGCTATGATATCAGTGATGCATCCCTTTGCCTGGTGATGTCAGCATATGACAAAGGGCGGTTTCCTCTTATGGTACCTGGGGCGGTCTCCTTAGGGGCTAGAATCCCAAGATGAGACATTTTAGTGTCTCTCCTAGGGAGTGTCACTGCGTTCGGGGTTGGGGGCTGAGAGTTGGTAGGGCTGACATGGATAAGAGATTTGGGCTTGGATTTTTGGGCTGCTATGTTGTTGGGCCATCCGAAACAGGTGGATATATACCTATATATTTGATGGTGTTGATGCAAGGTTGCCAAAGTCCTGAAACCTTGATGATTTGTAATAGTTTTTCAAGTACCAATTGAAGCTTGATACATAGTGGAACAAATCTTAGATGGCTTGCTCAATGACTAGATGTAGGTCACAATTTGTTGGTGGCTGAACCAATTAAATAGTGTTTGCACTCTTTTAACCCTTTCTCTTTACAATACAACAATTTATTTTATCATTTCAAGTTTTATATTGGATCATTTATCTATTGCTTTTGGTTGTTTTCATTATTATGAATGGGTTCTTTATCTTGTTAATTCATTTCTCGATCGCAAAGATTGTTAGAAATCATTCTCGTCAAAAAAAAACCATTTTTTTATAGGATTATGAAAACTCAATTCACTTTCCCTTTTTCAGTTACAGAAGTCATTGCTTAACATGATTTTTTCATTACTAAGTTTGATCCCAATTTTCAAAGATCATTTTATAAAATAAAAATAACATCTCGATTTGTTTAAAAATTAAGCAAAATTGATAGCGACTCTATTTTCTTCATTTATTTTTTTAATAAATTTCAGTTGTTTTTGCATCGCAATATTCTATGGGGACAATTGTCAATCCCTTAATTAATGAATAATAACACATCTTCACTTTAGAAATAAAGGTCATTTTAAATGAATTTTACCCTACTTTTTCAAACTTGTGGTAAATATCTGTCGTTTTTTAAGTTTTTTATTTTTTCAATTTAAGATTAGTTGACTCACTAGCTCTCCAACTCACTTATGCAAGATCTACTCATGCAAGATGAGTTGGAAAGTTCAACCTGAAACCTGTGAAAACAACTCCAGGTACGTTAAATTGTTCAAACATCTCTAATTATACAAATTCATATTGATAAGCTACTCACGTAAGTGGCTTGAAAAGAAAAAAAAAGGTACCTAAAATTTGAGCCTTGATATGGATAATATATAGGCCCATAAAGTTAAAAGCCCAAAAAGGATCCACGAAGGCGCAATGATCTCATTACGCAAAATGCACACACCAAGCATTGTGCAGGCTACCATGTTAAATCGCCTTATATAACTTAAAGACTAAGGAAAGTCGTAGTAACTAGCTGAGGTCCACCGCGTATAAGGGCCAACACAGGAAAGACATCTCCAGCTTGCCACTACTCTAAGAAGACAGGCTATTGTCTAGACTTGATCACCAAGGAAATAAATAGAAAGGCACCAACTCACAACAACCAATAAGAAGGTATGCCGCCTACAAAGGGCGGCTCAAAGCTTACTATAAATATAGGGGGAACAAACCCATGTACGATATCATTATTCCAATTAACTACAACTAATACCTCGCATTGATATTGACTTAAGCGTCGGAGTTTCTTTATAGGTACCCCCCAGTCACTTCCATTGTGCCAGAGTCACAATATTGCCAATCCAAAGAGAAGCCCACTTCACCATAGATTCGAGCTGATTTGCTACAGTTCAAAGGCCCATAGTCTTCAACCTCCAACCGTGTGTGATTTGGCTCATCCAATCTTGAACTAGTCAAATCATTGGCACCGCCTGTAGGGAACGATAAATTTTGAATCCCACTCCTTTACAAATCAAAAACATGGTTGATACCAGAAGCAAATCTCAAAACGGCTCCAGGGCGAAGAAAAAGGGAGCACAGATTTCACGCGAGAAATCTGTGTCATATGTTGCTCCAATTTTAGTACGTAATGAAAATCCACCCACTACACAACAACTATTAGAGCTCATCACCTAGCAAAATAAGAAAATTGTTCAACAAAATCGGGAATTGGCTCAGTTAAAAAAATTAAAGAGTGAGAAAGAAAAAAGAAAGAAAAAGAAAAAGAGAAAGAGAAATGCAATGAATTGGAAATTGAAAAATCTGATGAAAGTGAACCAGGACCTGAGTATTTAAAAAGGGATCCTGGTCCTTCAAATAAAGATAAAAAGAAAGTCGAGGAGCGAGAAGTACACGAAAACTCTTAGGAAAATTCAGAAACAGTTTCTCAAGTTGCGCATCCTTTCACTTCTCATATCATGAATTTACCAATTCCGAGAGACGTTAAGAGCACTACAGAAAAATATAACTGGAAAGGAGACCCTCAGGAACATCTGGAGCAATTTCAAACCAATATGATGGCTCAAGATGTGTTAGATCCAGTTGCTTGTTGATTGTTTCTAACAACGTTGAAGGAAATAGCCCTTAGGATGGTATTCTGCTTTACCATCAAATTCAATTCATAATTAGGAAGATCTCGTAAGTAGGGGTGCTAAGCAAACCAGGGCCTTTGACTCGACTCGTGAAGGCCCAAGCTTATATGTCTAAAATTGGTTGTTGTCACCAAGCTTGAACTTGTATAAAAGCTCGTTTAATAAAAAGGCCACAGGCTCTAATTCAAAAGCTCGGCCTTAGAGCCTCTCAGACTGGCCTAGTATATTTTTTTTATTTTTTATACTACTTGTAATAACTCTCTCTTTCTCCTCAATCCATTTCACCCCATTTTATTGGTAAAAGAAGAAGACCTTAGAGCGCGACCTGAAAAGTTCATTAATCTGGAGGATTATAAGCACTCTCGTGATGATTCCGGGGTGAAGGTAGATCTTAACAACTTTGAAAAGGATTTCCAGAGAGATTTTCAAAGGCGCTTTAAGGAGAAGAGAAAATGGGAGAAGTTTGATAATTATACTACTCCTTTGAATGCTTCTCGTAGGCGCGTCTTGAAGGAAGTCTTTCAAGCTAGTTTTGTTAATGTCGCAAAACCTCCACCACTAAAGAAAAATGGAAGATGAAACTAAATTTTGCAAATTCCACGATGATGTTGGCCATACAACTGAAGACCTTAAAAATACTATAGAGGCACTAATCGGAGCAGGTAAACTCATGGAATTTATAGCTACATGCAGGGATTATAAGGCAGAAGAGGCGCGATAGAAGCCCTGATACTGATAGAAATCCTGAGAGAAGAAGGTTACAGGAAAGGAGAGATTACAGTTGGACCAGATCCTGCAGGGATGCGAACACGCCTTACAACATGATGATAGGCAGAAAAGGGGATTTCCTCGCGAAAGACAGCAAGATTAACAAGCAAGGGACCATAATCAGCTACAATTGCCCAAAAATAATGCAGGAGTTTTGGCCACTATTGTCAAGAGGCAGCAGGAGGTAGTAAAACAAGCTCGTAGAGGAAACGACACTTAAAAGTCGTCATGACTGTAAGCAACCATGTGCAAGACTTAACACATCTCAAAGGTCATGAGTCAATTAGTTTTGACGACGATGACTATGGAGGCATCATTCCAAGTCACGATGATCCTTTGGTGATTTCTGCTTGCATGGCAAACCTCTAGGTAAAAAGAATTCTTATTGATAATGGTAGTTCTACGGATATCATTTTTTGGGAGGCATTTTTTGGCAGTGGCTGCGACGATGGCGGTGGTAATGGTGGCGGCAGTAGTAGTAGTGGTGGGGATGGTGGTGGTGGAGATGGCGGCAGTGACTGCAACAATGGTTGTGGGTATGGTGGTTGGTGGCGGAAACAATGGTAGCAGTGGCATGGTGGTGGTGGTGTTTGTGGAGACATTAGGGTGGTGGTGGTGGCAGTGGCGGTGGCGATGGCGTTATGATGGTAGTGGCGGGGGTGGTGTAATTGTAACAGCCCATTGTACACCGGTATTGTTAACATTAATTATGATATTAAGCGCAGTTACAATCACAGCAATTCATTTATAAAAATATGAGTAAACTTTTTCCGTTTATTACACGAGCATTTAAAACAATAAAAAGCGTAATAATTAAAAGCTGTGACCGTAACTGTAAACTCTTTGCGGAATACTTATTTTAGTTACTACAAGTCACTAAGGGGTTCCCATAAATTCACTTAGCTAATTTCTCAATTCTACGTTTCCTACCTATCCGAACATGGTTCGGTCTTTATTTTTCTGAGGACAAACCGCATTCCACAACCCTCCCATCGTTTGATATGTTATTCTCCACTCAATTACCTTATCACACGAGTTATTTCGATCTTGTTTGCTCCGAATATCGCCGTTTGAAGTTGGACAAGCAAAGCTGCCAGCCAACCCCAAAACAACTCCAAACATCCCTCACTCCCCGAATTACTGCAGGAAATACACTCAACCAATTGCTCTCAAATTTTTATACAACAAACTAGATACCTCAATATTCAATTTGATATCTCATACACCTAATTTGAACAAGAAACGAAGCGAGAATAAATTTCCCAAAACCGATCCAGAACTACCACAAGTGCAGTGAGCAATTGGGAAGTCTGCACCCTCTTCCCTCCCCAGGCCGGCTTTCAACCCAGAATTCTCTCAAATTTTACCACAAGATAGATAACAACTCAATCTTCAAAATGGCACATGAAACGTCCCTATCAGACGTCCGTGGAGGGAGATATATTCTCCCGAAGTTCGCCTAAATTCTGCCAATTCTACAGAAAATTTGCCAGAGTTTCCTTTGTTTTTACAAAAATCCCAAAGTTTGCAAATGCTTTCTAATACCTCAAATGTACCTAATAACCAATGGGTGGCACACACAAGGACCAACAATGCATTGGGGCACTTACAACCCAACTCAGTTTATAGTTATTACACAATTCATACCATATTGCTCACTTTATTAATCCTTGACTTATTTCAATCACCAATGTCCATTTACATGCATTTTCTAAACATACACAAAATCATAATCCTAAAATAGGCCTAAAGCCCTTCCATCATATTGCATCAAGTATTCATTGTGCAATTACAACATCTCAATTACATATTACAACTTACAAATTCATAACTTTAAATTACAACTTGAAACATAAAGCTTAAAATGACATATACAACATGTACGTAGACTTAGGCAAAAATAGCATGAACAAATATGACATGAAACTCATCCTACATACATATGGGATGTTCATGCCCTAAGTCTATCCTAGGCCCCATGGCCATCAAAATGCAAAAAGTAGAAATGTTCTCCAACACTCATCCTACGGGCCTCTTGCCCACCGCTCCTGTGCCACTGCTACCTCCTGAAATAAAGCCCCCAAGACGAGGTAAGATATACGAATATATCTCAGTAACCCAGAGGTTCTGGAGAAAACTCCGCCCAATGGCTCACTTCGATGCATATAAATAATATACAATAACATCTTTTAAAAACGGGATATACCAAGGGATTTAGAGAAACTTGGGAATATAAGGATACAAAATACGACGAAGCTGGAATGGTAGCTACCAATACCACGCAACGCCCTGCCTAATGGCTCGGCAAATAAGGCTACGGGTCTCATCCAAGGCGTGTTCCAAGAACAACTAACCAAGGTACCCCTCCCATCCGCATACACCCGAGACTTCCTAGTGTGCTCCTATCCGAATCACACGCCACGACCCTGGGTCAACTGGAACTCCCTCTTGGAGACCTATCCAGTGGAAGTCCGAAATGCCCGAAGGCAGAAACTGTCTACTGGCCAGAGACTCGGTACATCTAGTGTACCACTAACATACATAATAAATGCATGATCATATTATTCTACACTACTCATATACATTTCCTACCAACACCCTCAACGGGTATGGTGGAACACACAAGGGGATCAAGCCCCAGTACCAAGAGGTTACCTCAATAAGCCTCTTCACTTAGCTCCACAGCAGTATATTCTCCGAGCTCGTTACTCAACAGAATGCCTACACAGAGGACATTCCCAAATACTCAAAACTCATACGTACACATGCTAATTAACAATTATACAAGCATGATTCAATCACTTACCTCAATCCCACTTGGTCCAGGACCAAGGGAAATCCACCGACACACGGCTTGGGGTTCAAATTGACGTACGACAACCTACAATAACCATATACGAATCGTCAGTACACGGCAATTCTATCAAAACACAAAAAACGTCAAAAACCTCCTCTACACCTTTGTAGGTTCGGCCAAAGTAGTGTAATTTTGAGATTTATATTTCTAAATTCTCTTTCCCATTTTCCTAAGCATCCTTAGGTTGCCAAAGGGCCATATCAAGTGCCGTTTTTCATTTTATCGTCTTTTAAACGTCGTTTTGCTTAATATTTCACTCTAGGACCCTTTATGACTCTCAACACCATTTATTATTTTTCATTGATTCTCCAACCTTCCAACCACCACACAACCCATCTAAATACCATTTAATACATGATTCATCATCCAAGCCATGCCAACAACATCAAATCCCGACAATTCCCTAAATGGCCGAATTGTAGCGTATGCAATTCCAAAGGATCTTTACTCAATTTTGACCACTCTACACCTCATACAATCCCATTATATCAACATATAATCATACAACAAATCACCAATCCAATCCTAACACATTTTCAAAACTCAAGTCATGACACTTCTCAAATTTTTCTAAAGTTAAAAAATCATACTTTTCACCAATAATTTTCATTACATTTATAGCTCTAACACCTCATTCTAAGACATTATCATCTAATACACATTTTTCAATTGAGCTCTCTAACAACACAAATCATCAAATTTCCCCTTAGGGTTCATGAATTAAATCAAAAGATTAAACCTTTAAAATGGTGAAGAAACTTACTCAAAAGCTAGGCATAAGGCTCCTCCTAAACATACTCCACCATTGGAGCACCTAGAAACACCATGATCACAAATCTGCATGTAGCACCTACAACCAATTTTAGACATATAAGCTCGTTTAATAAAAAGGCCACAGGCTCTAATTCAAAAGCTCGGCCTTAGAGCCTCTCAGACTGGCCTAGTATATTTTTTTTATTTTTTATACTACTTGTAATAACTCTCTCTTTCTCCTCAATCCATTTCACCCCATTTTATTGGTAAAAGAAGAAGACCTTAGAGCGCGACCTGAAAAGTTCATTAATCTGGAGGATTATAAGCACTCTCGTGATGATTCCGGGGTGAAGGTAGATCTTAACAACTTTGAAAAGGATTTCCAGAGAGATTTTCAAAGGCGCTTTAAGGAGAAGAGAAAATGGGAGAAGTTTGATAATTATACTACTCCTTTGAATGCTTCTCGTAGGCGCGTCTTGAAGGAAGTCTTTCAAGCTAGTTTTGTTAATGTCGCAAAACCTCCACCACTAAAGAAAAATGGAAGATGAAACTAAATTTTGCAAATTCCACGATGATGTTGGCCATACAACTGAAGACCTTAAAAATACTATAGAGGCACTAATCGGAGCAGGTAAACTCATGGAATTTATAGCTACATGCAGGGATTATAAGGCGCAGAAGAGGCGCGATAGAAGCCCTGATACTGATAGAAATCCTGAGAGAAGAAGGTTACAGGAAAGGAGAGATTACAGTTGGACCAGATCCTGCAGGGATGCGAACACGCCTTACAACATGATGATAGGCAGAAAAGGGGATTTCCTCGCGAAAGACAGCAAGATTAACAAGCAAGGGACCATAATCAGCTACAATTGCCCAAAAATAATGCAGGAGTTTTGGCCACTATTGTCAAGAGGCAGCAGGAGGTAGTAAAACAAGCTCGTAGAGGAAACGACACTTAAAAGTCGTCATGACTGTAAGCAACCATGTGCAAGACTTAACACATCTCAAAGGTCATGAGTCAATTAGTTTTGACGACGATGACTATGGAGGCATCATTCCAAGTCACGATGATCCTTTGGTGATTTCTGCTTGCATGGCAAACCTCTAGGTAAAAAGAATTCTTATTGATAATGGTAGTTCTACGGATATCATTTTTTGGGAGGCATTTTTTGGCAGTGGCTGCGACGATGGCGGTGGTAATGGTGGCGGCAGTAGTAGTAGTGGTGGGGATGGTGGTGGTGGAGATGGCGGCAGTGACTGCAACAATGGTTGTGGGTATGGTGGTTGGTGGCGGAAACAATGGTAGCAGTGGCATGGTGGTGGTGGTGTTTGTGGAGACATTAGGGTGGTGGTGGTGGCAGTGGCGGTGGCGATGGCGTTATGATGGTAGTGGCGGGGGTGGTGTAATTGTAATAGCCCATTGTACACCGGTATTGTTAACATTAATTATGATATTAAGCGCAGTTACAATCACAGCAATTCATTTATAAAAATATGAGTAAACTTTTTCCGTTTATTACACGAGCATTTAAAACAATAAAAAGCGTAATAATTAAAAGCTGTGACCGTAACTGTAAACTCTTTGCGGAATACTTATTTTAGTTACTACAAGTCACTAAGGGGTTCCCATAAATTCACTTAGCTAATTTCTCAATTCTACGTTTCCTACCTATCCGAACATGGTTCGGTCTTTATTTTTCTGAGGACAAACCGCATTCCACAACCCTCCCATCGTTTGATATGTTATTCTCAACTCAATTACCTTATCACACGAGTTATTTCGATCTTGTTTGCTCCGAATATCGCCGTTTGAAGTTGGACAAGCAAAGCTGCCAGCCAACCCCAAAACAACTCCAAACATCCCTCACTCCCCGAATTACTGCAGGAAATACACTCAACCAATTGCTCTCAAATTTTTATACAACAAACTAGATACCTCAATATTCAATTTGATATCTCATACACCTAATTTGAACAAGAAACGAAGCGAGAATAAATTTCCCAAAACCGATCCAGAACTACCACAAGTGCAGTGGGCAATTGGGAAGTCTGCACCCTCTTCCCTCCCCAGGCCGGCTTTCAACCCAGAATTCTCTCAAATTTTACCACAAGATAGATAACATCTCAATCTTCAAAATGGCACATGAAACGTCCCTATCAGACCTCCGTGGAGGGAGATATATTCTCCCGAAGTTCGCCTAAATTCTGCCAATTCTACAGAAAATTTGCCAGAGTTTCCTTTGTTTTTACAAAAATCCCAAAGTTTGCAAATGCTTTCTAATACCTCAAATGTACCTAATAACCAATGGGTGGCACACACAAGGACCAACAATGCATTGGGGCACTTACAACCCAACTCAGTTTATAGTTATTACACAATTCATACCATATTGCTCACTTTATTAATCCTTGACTTATTTCAATCACCAATGTCCATTTACATGCATTTTCTAAACATACACAAAATCATAATCCTAAAATAGGCCTAAAGCCCTTCCATCATATTGCATCAAGTATTCATTGTGCAATTACAACATCTCAATTACATATTACAACTTACAAATTCATAACTTTAAATTACAACTTGAAACATAAAGCTTAAAATGACATATACAACATGTACGTAGACTTAGGCAAAAATAGCATGAACAAATATGACATGAAACTCATCCTACATACATATGGGATGTTCATGCCCTAAGTCTATCCTAGGCCCCATGGCCATCAAAATGCAAAAAGTAGAAATGTTCTCCAACACTCATCCTACGGGCCTCTTGCCCACCGCTCCTGTGCCACTGCTACCTCCTGAAATAAAGCCCCCAAGACGAGGTAAGATATACGAATATATCTCAGTAACCCAGAGGTTCTGGAGAAAACTCCGCCCAATGGCTCACTTCGATGCATATAAATAATATACAATAACATCTTTTAAAAACGGGATATACCAAGGGATTTAGAGAAACTTGGGAATATAAGGATACAAAATACGACGAAGCTGGAATGGTAGCTACCAATACCACGCAACGCCCTGCCTAATGGCTCGGCAAATAAGGCTACGGGTCTCATCCAAGGCGTGTTCCAAGAACAACTAACCAAGGTACCCCTCCCATCCGCATACACCCGAGACTTCCTAGTGTGCTCCTATCCGAATCACACGCCACGACCCTGGGTCAACTGGAACTCCCTCTTGGAGACCTATCCAGTGGAAGTCCGAAATGCCCGAAGGCAGAAACTGTCTACTGGCCAGAGACTCGGTACATCTAGTGTACCACTAACATACATAATAAAGGCATGATCATATTATTCTACACTACTCATATACATTTCCTACCAACACCCTCAACGGGTATGGTGGAACACACAAGGGGATCAAGCCCCAGTACCAAGAGGTTACCTCAATAAGCCTCTTCACTTAGCTCCACAGCAGTATATTCTCCGAGCTCGTTACTCAACAGAATGCCTACACAGAGGACATTCCCAAATACTCAAAACTCATACGTACACATGCCAATTAACAATTATACAAGCATGATTCAATCACTTACCTCAATCCCACTTGGTCCAGGACCAAGGGAAATCCACCGACACACGGCTTGGGGTTCAAATTGACGTACGACAACCTACAATAACCATATACGAATCGTCAGTACACGGCAATTCTATCAAAACACAAAAAACGTCAAAAACCTCCTCTACACCTTTGTAGGTTCGGCCAAAGTAGTGTAATTTTGAGATTTATATTTCTAAATTCTCTTTCCCATTTTCCTAAGCATCCTTAGGTTGCCAAAGGGCCATATCAAGTGCCGTTTTTCATTTTATCGTCTTTTAAACGTCGTTTTGCTTAATATTTCACTCTAGGACCCTTTATGACTCTCAACACCATTTATTATTTTTCATTGATTCTCCAACCTTCCAACCACCACACAACCCATCTAAATACCATTTAATACATGATTCATCATCCAAGCCATGCCAACAACATCAAATCCCGACAATTCCCTAAATGGCCGAATTGTAGCGTATGCAATTCCAAAGGATCTTTACTCAATTTTGACCACTCTACACCTCATACAATCCCATAATATCAACATATAATCATACAACAAATCACCAATCCAATCCTAACACATTTTCAAAACTCAAGTCATGACACTTCTCAAATTTTTCTAAAGTTAAAAAATCATACTTTTCACCAATAATTTTCATTACATTTATAGCTCTAACACCTCATTCTAAGACATTATCATCTAATACACATTTTTCAATTGAGCTCTCTAACAACACAAATCATCAAATTTCCCCTTAGGGTTCATGAATTAAATCAAAAGATTAAACCTTTAAAATGGTGAAGAAACTTACTCAAAAGCTAGGCATAAGGCTCCTCCTAAACATACTCCACCATTGGAGCACCTAGAAACACCATGATCACAAATCTACAAGTAGGATCAGTAGTGTGGTGACTAGCCTCACCAGACTGACGACTAGCACCACTCCTCTCCTGGTGAGGTGTAACAGATGGCGTACGGTATGAGTCTTTGTAACCGTATCTGGAGGAGAATCATCCCTCCTGTTCTGAGCCCTATCCGCCCTCATCTCATTCATGAAGGCATGCATCATATCCTGACTATTTTTCATCAGGGTCTCAGTCATGTTTCTATTTGCAGCAGTCTCTTCCTGCAGAGCATTAAGAACTGCAGTAATAGGATCTGGTGCTACTAGACGACCTGCACCTCGAGTTCCACGGCGACCATGTGCCCTACTCATGATATCTGTACAAGTAACACAAAGGAATGAGTTGATCAGACCCACACTGAGGAATCACATATGCAATAATCATAAACAGTACACAGATAGTTATGCAACATAAAATATAGTTATGCATTATCAGAGTTCGCTTACAAAACTGCTCTGATACCATAAAATGTAACAGCCCATTGTACACCGGTATTGTTAACATTAATTATGATATTAAGCGCAGTTACAATCACAGCAATTCACTTATAAAAATGTGAGTAAGCTTTTTCCGTTTATTACGCGAGCATTTAAAACAATAAAAAGCGTAATAATTAAAAGTTGTGACCGTAACTGTAAACTCTTTGCGCAATACTTATTTTAGTTACTACAAGTCACTAAGGGGTTCCCATAAATCCACTTAGTTAATTTCTCAATTATACGTTTCCTACCTATCCGAACATGGTTCGGTCTTTATTTTTCTGCGGACAAACCGCATTCCACAAGCCTCCCATCATTTGATATGTTATTCTTCACTCAATTACCTTTCTAGGAAGCTATCACACGAGTTATTTCGATCACGTTTTCTCCGGATATCGCCGTTTGAAGTTGGACAAGCAAAGCTGCCAGCCAAACCCAAAACAGCTCCAAACATCCCTCACTCCCCGAATTACTGCAGGAAATCCACTCAACCAATTGCTCTCAAATTTTTATACAACAAACTAGATACCTCAATATTCAATTTGATATCTCATACACCTGATTTGACCAAGAAACGAAGCGGGAATAAATTTCCCAAAACCGGTCCAGAACACAA